GCGGAGTGTGACAGCCAATCAGAGTTGTTGGTATTGAATATGATGGCGGCTCTGGCTGGATTGGCGTCCATCTTTGTCCTCTACTCACTCCGGCCTCTCATCACAAACCCCTCCCCCCCCGGATAATGGTGTACAGAGAATGAGGGGGCCACGAGTCTGCACCACGTCCAAAGTTTATTGCGGTCAGAGGCTATAGCTAACGCATTTCGGGGACTCGCAACTCCTGATGGAGGAGTGGGGGTGAGCCCAAGAAACGCGTCGGCTATATCCTCTGACCTCTTGTCTTTCAGAACAGAACACTTACAGGTCATCTGGGCTCTATTGCTGCTTCCAACAGTACAATAGCCACGCCCCCCTCGGGCATGCTTTGCCCTGATTGGTCGGGCTGCTACACTACGTTCTGCTCTGACAATCAAAATATCTAGAAGTATTTTTATAACCAAAATCAGCAATCTATCATTTCCCAGAACCGCGGCGGGGCCCCAACGGCACTAGAGACGAGGGCCCCTGCAATACCATGTGACCAGCAAACGGAGAGAATAAACTCTGACCCCGCCCCCCCACTGGCGTGTTCAAATAATCTGCTCCCCAAGAACAGCAAAGTGTTCCCACTACAGTCACTCTCTGACCAGCAGCCGCACTCCTTGTGTTCGCACGGCTGAGGTCCTCCCGGGTCACAGCGCTGAGGTCCCACACACAGTTACACTCTGACTGGGGGGTCCTAGATACATTCACTCTCTGACCAGCAGTCCTGCTCCTTGTGTTCTGAGGTCCTCCCGGGTCACAGCGCTGAGGTCCTCCACATACATTCACTCTCTGACCAGCAGCCGCACTCCTGACATTTGCCGTGTTCTGTCACTCTCTGACCTGAGTAGATGTGAAATGTTTCCTCCAGTTGGAGCTTTTCCTGCAATTATAATATATAAAAATCTATTTTATTAATTTCACACTCGGTCTGGTGTCTCTTCTGTGGCCCCGCCGGGCCCCCTCCATGGTTGGGGAATGTTGGCTGGTGAATTATAGTTCTGCATGAGGACTGGACGCTGGCAAACGGCTCGTAAGCCCGCCCCTGGATGACTCCTCCCCTTCCCAGCATGCCTTGGGCTGGATGACTCCTCCCCTTCCCAGCATGCCTCGGGCTGGATGACTCCTCCCCTTCCCAGCATGCCTCGGGTGTTGCTGAGAGAATATGTCCTGTGATGATCCGCGCTCTGTATGGAAGGTTCCGGATCGGGGGGCGGCCCGTGTGAGCCGTGGCCCCGCCCCCCCCAGGTGTCTCAGGGGAAACTGTG